CATTATCTATTATTAGTGATTTAAGAACCAAACGAACAGGTAATGAATAGATAAGTCTTATGCTAATAACAACATCAACAGCAACAACAACACCAGCAACAACAGCATCAAGAACAACAACAACAATAACAACAAAAAACATACAATAACCAACAATAAAAGAAAAAGAAACCGGAATATTTCGAAATGAATAAACGGCGTCCCTTATTCGAGCCCAAATCCTGGGAGACACAGAAGAGGCTGAAATCGGAATGGTCGTTTTTGGCGGGAAAGGTATGCGTCCCAGACAACGGTCGGTTAGATGCCAAGTTCAAGGTTAAAGCTGTTTTGTTATTTTAGGGAGACTTTTCACGGCGAAGAGGGATAGTCGAGGATAAAAAAGAAATGGAGGAAATATAAGATGAAGGGATGGATGGAGGAATGGTTAGGAAAATAGATGTGAATAGGTGAATAAGAGAAGTGAAATTAAAAATGAGAGAGAGACAGAAAGAATACCAGGGAAAGGGTTACATTAATAAAAAGAAAATCAGATAAGCAAATTTTTTTTTTTTTTTTTTTTTTTTTGATACGAGAGGGAAAATGAAACGAAAAAAAACAAAGTGTTTAAAAATCGATATATAATTAAATAAATGGTAGAAATTAATCCTAAGGAGACGGATATAGGAAGGAAACACTTTATACGTTTATGATGGCAATGAGGAAAAAGTTTTTTTTTCTGAAGAAACTTCTAGTAACCACATCCGGGACACCGACATTTGATCACGTGACAGTTACAGTCATTTATATTACATAGTCATTTTTATTCATTTTTGACTATCTCTTCATCTATTTTGAGTACAATTACTAAGTAACGATAAAGTGTAAAGCTGTATTTGTAACATCTGTGAAATCCAATGAGAAATTTACGACTGGTAGTTATAATAATCATAATAATTCTTTTTTCAACTTTTCTTTTCATACTCTTTCAATGTTTCTTCTGTTTCTCCTCTTTTACCTGTCTTTTTTCTTTTATTCGGAAGCATATGGAGGACCTAGTAAGAAATTAAATCAATATCATGATTCCCTGTATTGCAAGATCCCCCCAACCCCCCATCGAACTTTCCTTACCTTCCCCTCCCTTCCCCTCCGTTCCCCCTCCCTTTCCCCTCTTCATTCCCCTTCTTTCCCTCCCTTCTCCCTCTCCATTCCCATTCCCTTCCCCTCCCTTTCCCCTCTCTGTTCCCTCCACCTCCCATTTCCTTCACTCTTTCCTTTCCCTTCCCACTCCCCTTTCTTTCTCCTGCCCATTCCTCCTCCCTCCCCCCTTCCCCTTCCCCCTTCCTTCCCCCTTCCTTCCCCCCTATAATCGTGGCAACAGAGAGTGACGTAACTGCTGTTGATACCTGTTCCGGATACTCAATTTTTATTACGGAAATCTGCCGCTTGATCAACGTTGCATATCAATGCGTCCATTTCCATAAACATCAACCCTAGATTTTAAAGCTGATTTGAATAAATACAGCGTTTAAAAAAGTTAAAAAAAAAAAAGTGTTGGCAGTGGAAATAAAATATTCTTGGAGTGTTGGCAGTGGAAATAAAATATTCTTGGAGTGTTGGCAGTGGAAATAAAATATTTTTGGAGTGTTGGCAGTGGAAAAAAATATTTTTGGAGTGTTGGTAATGGAAATAAAATATTTTTGGAGTGTTGTTAGTGGAAATATTCTTGGACCTTGCAATAAATAATGAGAGGAAATTTTACTAATGCAACTGTGATACGAACGCTCTCAGACGAAGCCAAAAGTGAAGGTGTTTGAGACTGAAATTGCAAAGATAAACTATTTGAGTTGCATTTTTTTTTTCTCTTTTATTTATTTATTTGTTTATTTGTTTATTCATTTATTTTGAAATTATATACACGAGTGGTGATAATGATGAGTGTGATGACGATGGTGTTTGATGATGATGATGATGATGATGATGATGATGATGATAATGATAATGATAATGATAATGATAATGATGATGATGATGATGATGATGATGAGGAGGAGGAGGAGGAGGAGGATGGTGACGATAATGATGGCAGTACTCAAAAATGATGATAGCGATAATGGCTATAATGATAGACAAATAACTGTATAAATAAATGAACATTAAACATACATACTAAACCCCATTTTCAGCGATGCAAAAAATAAGAATGAAAATGAGTCATTCGATCACATGCACGACCTCATAACGAGCTGTCATCTCTGCATCTCATCACCACCATCATCACCATCAAGCAGAACGAGTTGTGGTCATGAAGAAACAGGCATTAAAAAAAAAAAAAAAAAATCGAAATAACTCAAAAGGGTCCGTCCGCAATAACTGCCATAACGAATGAAGTAATAAGCCTAATAACCGAGTAAACAAATGCTAAACTGTATAAATTATAAAGAAAATGGAGTTACGGAGAATAATAAGCCAATTATAAAAAGAAGAGAAAACTGGAAGAGCTATAAGAGGAATGTGTACTTAC